GCTGCTCCCCCAGGGCCAGCACACGGCGCCCTTCAGTTCTTCAGCTCCCCCAAGTGGAGCTTGGCAAAGTCCGTGGCCAGTTTCAGAGCCTGCTCCAGGCAGCCAACGTTCTTGCCTGTAGCCTGTGCAGAGACGTCTTTACCGCCGCCTTTACCATCCATCAACGCAGACACCTCCTGCACCCACTGACTGGCCTTCAGGCCCTTCTTCACTGTCTCCTGCACAGAGGGGGAAAAAGAAAAAAAAGAGGAGCTCAAACCTCAGAAGAGAGGCTAAGAGCACGGTGGGATAGGACAAACCTCTTTCCTTTGCAGCTCCCAGGGGTGGGGAGAAGCTATGCCAGCAGTCCAGTGGCAAACATCCTGCCTCGGTGTTTGCATGAGCACACTGAATGCTGGCTCTTCCTGCTTCTTACCAAAAAGATTCAATACCTCACCCCTCCTCTGACCCTGCAGCATGATAATAATGCAAAGGCGAGAGACCACAGCTGCTGCAAACCTGCATCTTTGGCCTTGCAATGTTAGATGCCGCTCCTCCAGCTGGTGGGTACCCCAAGGCTCAGAGAAAGGCACGCACACACACACGCACACACACACACACATGCGCACACTCTGTGTTACCTGGGGTACTTGACACAGGCAGGTGATTCTGCCGGCTTCGTTATCTACAGCAAAAAGCATGGTGGCAGTCTGGGGGGACTGAGTCTTGAAGAGCTTCAGAGATTCATTCAGCGCCTGTGGGACAACAGTCACGTCAGCACATCTTCCACCTAGCTTGCAAACAGCCCTGTTCCAGTCCCCACACAGCACTATGCAGCCATGACGAGGATGGTCTGCAGGTCTCTTCAGAGACCAGAGTACAACCCACCAGCCAGTAGGGAATCCGGACTTGTATTAAAACAGCTAGCAGCACCCTGTGGCGCTCGTTCTCCCAAGCACAGGGCCTCTTCATGTCCCTGGCTGTGGTGAAGTCGTGGCAGAGACAACCTGCTTTTCTGGCTGCAGGCAGCTGCTGAAAGCTGCACACAGCTACCTGACTGTGCCCCCTCACAGCTGCAGGGAGAGGGGACTGAGGATATGCTTTTATTTCCCTACGTTCAGCTATCTGGAGACTTGCAAAATTCATGGCTCTGCACCCACAAAGTGAATGAACCTGTGGTTTGGCTATAAGTGTAACAGACAGAGCGGAATATGCTCTGCTGTATTCAAGGGAGGGGGCGGCTGTTCTGTGGAGAGCAACAAGTCAGGAGGACTTGCCTGGAACGTGAAGAAGCTACAGGGGTATCGGACAATGCAGCCACACTGGAGAGACTAGGGAGACTGCCAGGCATCCTATTATTTCTAAGACAGTCATCCTTTGCTCTTGGGGACAGCACGGTACAGCACAGAGCTCCTGGAGCAGGCTCTCTAGTGAGCAAAGCGTTGCTGCAGCAGTTGGCTACTAAACACATGGCTGCTCCCCTAGGCTGCCTGCACTGCCATCCCCCAGGATTCACCCATCTGCCAGAGATGGGCTCACAGCCGCACGCTCCGTGGAGCATTCCCATCACCAGGGAGAATGCCGCATTGGCACCCTCTGTGGCAACAACCCTGCAAACAAAGCAACAGTTTCAACTCCCACACAGCTGTGAGCAGGAGCGCAGGCACCATGGAGATGGGGACAGCCAAAGAGAGTGGGTGGGAATCTATAAGCAGGATCAGCTCAGAGACTGCTGAAGCAGAAATTTAAATGGGACATTAAAACTTGATGGTTCCAACATCACAACAACATCGGCCCCCGCCACCTGTCACTTGCTAGGCTAAGCAGTGCAGCGCACACAAGAGAGCATTTATTCACAACAGCAACTGCTAGGAAAGAAACTTAACTTCTGTGTGGAGGAGGAGGAGGGACAGAGCAGTTTCATCCCTGACCAAAGAAGAACTTGAACCTTACTGCAGCAGATGCAGTGCCCAGGAGCTGGGGAACAGCTCTGCAGTATTGTCCTATCCATACACTTAGTCCAGGACACTGTGTTTCCAGAGCTGATTTGCAAGAGTCACAGGCAATACAACTTCTGTGGATCAGCAGACCTGCTTTTAAGAGTTCTTGCAGCCTGCATTTCATGACTCCTTTGAGATCCTTCTTATCTGGGACCCAGTGCAATTTCTGCATGGCTCCCCATCTTCCACCAGGTCTAGAGATTCAGCATATAGCCAAGACCCCCTCCAACATGTTTGTTAACCCAGGAGGTAGGACGTAGAGATCATCACAGTGGTCCTTCCCCCTCTTCACTAGCACTGCTGGCAGGTTGCAAGCTGGCTCTGTAACACAGCACTGTCTTCTCAAGCGAACAGGGACTATCTAGCTACTTCTTAAGCACAACCAGAGTTGTCGGGGAGAGACCAGACCTTCCCATACCTTTGCTGAGGCTCCGTTTTCCATTTCCATGATGACCAGTGGCTGGTTAGGGTGACTCTCAATGACTTGCTTTGTCTTCTCCAGCACCTGAGAACAGCAGCATTCAGAAGCTGAAGCATGCACATTGCATACGGACACAAAGAAGACCTGGGTAAAACCTCTCTGCAGCTACAGAGGCCCCCCAAGGTTCTCCCAACACACCCATGGCCCAGCCTGGAGCAGCCCCACACTGCAGAGCCAAAAGCAAAATGTGCTGGCAGGTGCATGTCTGATCTGCAAAGTAGCAATACTGCTGTGAGTGGTGGCCCCTCCAGGAAAATCCAATGAGATTCAGAAAGAACCCCATATCGCATGCCACTCAGGCACAGGGGCTCCACCATGAGGGCAGGAGCCTCCCATCTCCCAGGAGGTGCCGCAGGCCCTTCATGCTGGGGACCAGCAGCAGAGGCAGCTGTGCTAAGGGCAGTGGAAGCTCTTTACTACAGAGCGCCCCCATCATTTAACACAGTTGCAGAGGGTGAGCCAACCTCCATGCCAGGGAGGCAAGAGCCATAGTGCAGCCACCAGGTCTTGAGGAGAGAGCAGGGCATCCCCATTACTCAGCTCCCTTCTGTGCTGGGCCAAAGGGAAGCTCCCAAGGGAGCCCCCACAGGTTCTCCCAAACTGCCTTTGATTCCTGCATAGGGCTCACTCTTTTCTGGATGTTGGCTTTGCTTGCCCGGTCCAAGTCATCCATAACCTTCTTCAGTGCTTTAACAGCCTCTCTCAGCTCATCTTTCTGCCACTGTGGAATAATGGCAGTGGCCAGTGTCTGCAAAACAGGAAAGGGTTAGGTGACCACAGCACAAGGCAGGGGCTGCTGCACCACTCTCATGAGCCCCAAGCGCCTTGACTGGTAGAGCCCAGTAAGCTACCCCTCCCAATACCCAATGACTTCAGGAATGAGGTGCTGGCTGCAGCATCCACAGGACGCAACGCTTCTGCTTTGCTTGTACTCTACAGGACAAGACTACAGTTCGCAGGCAACTACACCCATGGGGATAATTGAGACCAGGTGACTCCAGACACTATCCAGGGAGATACAGGAGCAGGAAACTGAACTTGGGCCTTGTTAACATCACCCACTGCTGGCAATCAAGGACCCCACTCACTCTAGGAAAGTAGATTAGTGCCCTCATCCTCACCTCACTGAGATCTGCAATCTCCTTCTGTACATCCTTGTTG